GATCGATGAGCAAATAATTTGATTATTTGTGACTGTATAGTAAATTTTGACTTATGATATTTGTAATTTATGATCAATAAATAAATCGTGATTTATCAATTTTTTGATTTGTAATCGATGAGCAAACAGTGGCCTATAAAATTGTTGGATTGTGACCATAGAATAATTTGTGATATAAAATTTTTGATTTGTGACAAAAAAATAATAAGTGACTAACTAAATCGTTAATTTGTGACTAAATTATATAGATCCGTGACCTAAATATATTTAATTATTAAATTGATTAATTAGATCATAATTAAGTTTTTTTATGAATATAATTTTTTTCCTTTGAGATTAAATTAAAGTTTTTAAGTTATTTGCTGCTATTTGTTTTTATATCTTTAAATTATTATATTTTTAAATTAATGATTTTGTGAATTCATTATTAGTTATAATGGTTATATTTTTTATTTTATAATTTTGTATATTATATTAAAATAAGTTATTCTCATTTTTAAGAGGTAAGAATCATTTATTAGTTATTAACCAAAAACTATGTGAAATGATACACAATTTCATAACTAAGAAATTAATTATGGCACATTTCAAAAACAAGAAAACAAGTTTCAAATTTCTAAAATCAGATTTTTATTAATAATTATTTATAATTTAATTAGTTAATTAATTATTTTATTAATTAAATATATTTAGGTCACGAATCTATACAATTTGGTCACAAATTAACAATATAATTAATTACTTATTATTTTTTGGTCACAAATCAAAAATTTTATGTCACAAATTTTTTTACGATCATAATTCAAAAATTTTGTAAGTCACAGTTTGTTTATTGATCACAAATTCAAAAATAATTAGTCACGGATTAATTTTTAGTCACGACTTATCATATTATTGATCACAACTTATTTTTCGGTTACAAATTAAAAATTGTATAGATCATATATTATTTTTCGATCATGAATCAAAAATTTTATAGGTCACAGATTAATTTTTTGGTCACAACTCAATAAATTATAAGTCACAAACACAAATTTTATAGGTCACATATTATTTTTCGATCACGAATAAAAAATTTTATAGATCACAGATTAATTTTTCGATTACAACTCAATAAATTATAAGCCACAAACACAAATTTTATAGGTCACATATTATTTTTCGATCACGAATTAAAAATTTTATAGGTCACAGATTAATTTTTCGGTCACAACTCAATAAATTATAAGTCACAAACACAATTTTTAGGTCACATATTATTTATTAATTTAAGTCATGAATTAATTTTTAGTTACACATATCAATTTATTGGTCACAATTCAAAAATTTTATAAGTCACAAATTATTTTTCGATCGCAAATGAAGATTTTTTAAGGTCACAATTTAAAAATTTTGTAGATCACGATTTGTTTGTTGGTCACATAAGTAACAGATTACAAATATTGTAAGTCACATATTATTTTTTTTTAGGTCACACACTATTCTCGGTCATAATTTATCATTTTTAGTGGTCACATATTATTTATTGATCACAGGTTAACCAATTTAATGGTCACAATCAATCAAATAATACGTGACCACCACCAAACCACCACTCCCTTCAACAACACCATCGCCTAAACCACCAGCACCATCATCGACAACAACGCTATAGTTTCAAACAAAAAATCAACTCCAAAATTATCAACGCCATCACCGCCACCAACACCACACCAACACCACTGTCGCCGCCGCAGCACCATAACCATCCCTACCACATCTCATAATTCATTT